TTCTGTTTATCTTGGATAGCTTTGTAAACTTGGTAAATATATGCTTGGATTTTTAACATATTATGCATACAATACCAAAAATAGGCCACGCCCTCCAATGACAAACAACTCATTTATTTTGAAAACTAGACTGCGAGCAGAGGGTGCGATCGACGAGCGGTGAGCGGCCAAGCTGCGATCTCTTTTCGCTGTGACTGGCGCCCCTGCTGCTCGCAGATCACGGCCTCGCCCCTCATCGCTCGTCGATCACCTCCGCTTTTTCTCCGTTCGTTCCAGTGGGATTTCACAGCAAAAGAGACTGCTCGCAGTCTATTTGAAAACAAGAACCTGTTAAAGAACCTGAGTAGCACCATATTTTATAATAACCTTCTTAGCCTTGCTTGGAAAAAATTAGGTTCCTATTAGCGGGTTTTTACCGTATATGCTTCTGAGTCTAAAATTGAAAAAAATACCAAATTGCACCAATGTTGCACTAAGGTCACAGGAACTGTCCCGTTTCGGGGGAGGGGGGCACTCCCGTAAATTTTGAATGAGTGTGTGCCTCGAAGAGTCTTGAACCCTGTCCCACTTTAAGGATGAAACAAACGAGAATTGTCCAAACACGAAATATGACACCCTATTCAAGGAAAAACAATAACCAAACAACGGCTAATCACGCGCGGCAAAACACAAATCTCGATAAAATCGCTTTGTTGACAATTTTAGCGGAATTTGCTTTTTGTTTAGCTGGCCATTTACACACTGCAATTTTAGCCGATGCAATTTACATATCCTATCTAAAGATCACAACGGAAACACAATGCTAACAGAGGCAAAATGATAACCGCCAAAACCATACCCTATCCCGCGGCACATACATGTATATAGGAGTACCCCCACCTCTGGGTATTTAAAATGGATATTGTTCTGCAATGTCCTCCATCAATCGTCCTTAACAGCCATTCGGGTGAAGCTCGCCATGCCATCTTCTCCACATGAATTCCTTAAGGTATTCTTGTAGGAAGTTAGGATTTGTGTTCCCTTTCATCTTCTTAAATCTGTCCTTTGCTGCAGACCAATTGCTCTCTGCCTCTTGTGTGTGGACACCGGTGATTGGGTCTACAAAGTTAACCGAGTGATTAACCGTTTGATGATTGAAACCCAAGACCCTTTGCATTTGCCTGTATGCCGCCCATTCATCAGTATAAACCAAAGAGCCTGGTTGTACGTGTCTTTGGATAATGGTCAAAAGAGTACGCGCATCTCGCCTTCTCACAAGCTGTAAATACGGTCGAGCAGGGTCATACTGTGTGTCAAAAAGCCCAAGACCCATCTCTCTCCACGAGGTCGACGTACCCTTTGGAACTGTGCTTAAGAAGAGACAAATTTCATTAAAACGTGTTGAATATATAGAAAAAAATTAAGAAAGACTGTTTCCTAGCGGGTGCAGGACATAAGTGGGTATTATAAACTGAAATACGGTTGATGTAATGTTTCGTATGTATTTTAGTTGATATGTTTTCTGTTGTAAAAAAGACCTGAATGAAATACAATGTATACGAGGCATCGAGGTGAGTCTCTTTATGGGCACATTTCTTGATGACACATTAATTTTTAACATTTTCAAGGTAAAATGCGCACAGTTTTTGGCATTTTGGCTCTAATCTGGCTACAGGTTTTGCCGAAGATTTTGGGAATAATTCGGATGGCGCTATTTTTCTGTTGAAGTCACTACGGTGAGATCGACTTTCTGGGATGGAAGAGAAGAGAATAAAACGTGCTATAGCCATTTTCGAGAAGAAGATAAGGTGCAAATAAGCTTACATTTGTTCAATTGATCTTCAAAGGATAGTGACTAAAACACCACACGAGCACTACGAGTAACATACAAGTACACACGAGTAATTACGAGTCATACGGGCGCACACAGATACATATGAGTAACATAAAAGTAACATACGAATACATGGAGTAACACACAGATAACATACGGTCAAATGTGGGTAATACGCATGAAATCTGCTAAGTAAAATACAAGAAATTGGACCCTTAACGGAAATCGTCGATTTGTTTTTCACTGCTCGGTATGGAGAGAAATTAGCATTTGAGGGTGTGTGTGTCTGCGTGTGTGATGGGGGTGGGGGGGCTGGGAAGAGACCTTCCTTAATGCTTCCTGTGAGCCTATTACTGCATAAAATAGCAATAACAAAACTAATAATAAATTCAAATACTATTCAATCCTGTAGGCTGAACAACAACGCTGATTTCCTACGGTTACCACCCTCCCGAGGTAATACGCGGGACAAGATCGGCCCTTGTGACCCTAGGGTGGAAAATGTTTGAAGTTTTCAGTTTTTCCCGTGGGTAGGGGGTTGGGCAACTTCAAATAACTACCCACACAAAGACTCCTGGGACGAATTGCGATTGACTACCTAATTTACCCCGACCTGCTCTCGTGCTGGTCTCGTAGCTCAGTCGGTAGATCTAATTCGGAGGTCGTGGCTTCAATCCCCACTTGGTCAAATTTTCTTTGCCCCGTGAGGACTCCCAAATTTCCTTTAAAAGGGTAGTAACCCAGGGGGATTTATTGTATCGGCAGTATTGCCTTCTTCCAGCACCCAAACATTTATTTTAAAAAAATTATAATTTATATTACGGGTGCTTCGCGGTTCACATTCTATATCTATATCATTTGAACTAATGAATACACCGAGCAGTAAAAACAAATCAAAGGTTTCCGAGAAAGGTCCAATTTCTCGTATTTTACTTTGTTTTTACAAATCAAAGGAAAGAAAGTCAATTAAGCTTTCGCTAAAATGCATGCGATCAAAAACCATTTCCCATTTGAGTTTTGGAATGTAATTTTTTTTTTTGGATGACAAACTGCAGTTACCAGTATACATCTTGTATTACGGAGGACAGTAAGGAAATTAACCAATGTTTTTTAAAACACTTGCACACAGCCATTGTTTTGCTCCATTTTGTCGGACAAATATCTCCCTATAAAGTGGATTTACAAAGCTACGGAACCTAATACGATCTATATTTTCAACCGTCACCACCATTTAGTACACCAGCGTTGAAGACTACATCATCGGAAAATGAAATTTCCTTACTCGCGGTCCAATGGGAACAAACAGTGTTAGAATTGTTTTGACGTTTACTAAAAACATGCGCTTGATATAGAATGAAATAGAAATCAAAACTTTATGAGTGCGGTTGGAAGTATTGCGAGTTCACTCTACCGACGTCCCGTTTGCCGTCTTGTCTCAAACTGGAGGTTTTTAACCCTTTAAATAGTCGAATTGTGTGCTCTTTATCGACTGACGGTGACACTTTTTTTTAAAGAATAATGACAGCGGCGGCGGAAAAAAAAGTTAAAATGCCATTCATTGTCCAATGAAATAAGCTTCCAAAGCACAGATAATAAAACCAAATATAACCTAACCTTTGAAAAGGGTGTAGTAAGTCTCCAACGCAATAAACATCGTGCGTTGTAGATCTCATAATTTTGATCTACTGTAAGTGAACACAGATCCTTAATTCTCACACCACATCTATCTCCAGAAAAGTAACAGGCAAAGTCAATAGGTTGAATATACTTGAAAAACTAGAGAGGGTAAAGGACCGTGCACTTAGGTATGACATGTATTTAAAGCAAAGACCCTTCATTAAGAAAGAATGCTCAATATGATTGGTTTACAAAACACATTAAAGGGTCGTCTCACCCAAGATATGTTAATTACGATAGACAGATGTTTTCAAAAGAAGACACCCACCACTACAGCTAATTCATTTCAAGTAAAGAACACGCATCGTAATTAAAGGGGCACAAATATGCTTTGATACCTAAAGTAAGATGTACAAAACATGGTCTAAGTTCTCTTCGTTACTTCGCCGCTGTAAGTGTTTCGTTCTACCATAAACACACGATTTCTAGGTAACGAACAGTCTTTATTTGTAAACTAAGTGCGCTCTCATGTAGATATATGTGATCTAAAACCTTTTGCGATTAGATAACATCGACCGCTGTATCATGTGTCACCTGAGGTGCACGTGATCTACGAGTGTGCTCTCGTTACATCCTTTCTTTCATAAGAAACAAGACGAAAACAACGGAACAATCAAAACAAACATGAGAAACAAAAAAATCAAAACCACTATCCAAAAGAATCAACTAGTCAAGTCCGGTAATGTCTTTGTCTCTCATGACACTGACTCAGGTTAACGAACAAAGTCTTTCAGATAGGACGGGGGCTTCGTTATTCGACCACTGCGAGTCTGGTTGCCTTTGGAAGCTTGCGATGCTAGATCAGTCGCAGGCTGCTCGATCGCTGGCTCCTGTGGCTTCGCTACTTCTGAGCTGGAGTGACCACTGGCGTTAGTTTCTTGTTCAATGTGTTTAGATGGCGAGGGAAGTTCTGTCTGCTTGGGCATCTGGGTTGTTGGCGTGTGAGACTCTTTTGTAGTTGCTTTCAGATGCCTTCTATTTCGTCTAAGGGCAGAGCCATCTTCTGTGAGGACTTTGTAGGATCGCATGTTCACCTGTTCCTGAACAGTGGCTTTCTTCCAGGGCGCCTTGGGGTTGCTTGTGGGCTGAATGCGCACTGAGTCTCCAGTTTTCAGTGGTGGCAAATCTCGAGCGTTTCTATTGTAGTAAAATGCCTGCTTGGTTCTTGTCTTCCATTTTCCTTCTTGGACATTTTCGGCGAGTTTGGGTTTAAGGAGCTTCTCGCTTGTTGGGAGTAGGGTCCTTGTTCGACGACTCATTAGTCGTTGTGCTGGACTGCTTTTCATGCCTTCTGTGGGTGTGTTTCGGTGGTCGAGGATCGCGAGCCAAGGATCTGTTCCATCTTTGTTAGCCTTCTTAATAAGCCTTTTCACAGTCTTGACTGCGCTTTCCGCCATACCATTGGAGGCCTTCCACCAGAGGGAATTCTTGTTTGGACAACTGTTTCACGAACCGCACGGATCTCTTTTCAAAGTGCTATCCCTTTCACATGCTCTCCAAGACGGATCACATGGGAGTTATTTTACCACCCGGTATAAAGCTTCCACCTATCCGCCGTAAAGTATACGTGCGTGACCAAAGGGCTCATAGAAAGCGTGATCTGTATATCGCGTTGGCGAAGGAAAACTGGGATGATATGATACAGGAAACTGATGTCGATGAAGTGGTTGGTAGGCTCGAAAATACCATCCTAGGGCACCTGGATAGCTGCATGCCTCTGAAAACAGTGCGCATGTCTTCAAGAGACCCGGGCTGGATGACTCCGCTCGTTCGATCGATGATACGAGCCAAATCACGCATATCACTCAGTAATCAAGACCGTCTTAAAGTTATGAATAAAAGGATCTCTGAAGTGATTTTCAGAAACAGAAGGGACTTTATCGCCTCTATTGGAACTCGGGATTGGTGGAAAAAAGTGGATAAAACATCTCAGCGCCGCAAGCCGGTGATTTCTCTATCTCTTGGCCACTACGAACTCAACGCGTTAAATGACTACTTTGGTGACCTATGTACTGACCACGCCTACAGAAAGCCAACACCTCTGGAGATTAGTGAAGATCAGGAAGTCCCAGAAATCTCAGAGCGACAAGTCCTGAATTCTCTTATGCGTATAAAGAAAACAGCAACCGGACCAGATGGCATCCCGTATACTATATGGAAAGACCACGCCGAGCTATTCGTTCCAGTGATCACCTGGATTTGGAATCTGTCTCTTAGAACACACGCCTGGCCTGTCTCTTGGAAAAAGTCAGACCTGTACCCCTTGCCGAAGGTTGATATACCTAAGGGAATATCAGACTTCCGCGGAATAAATGTGACACCTGTCATCGCAAGGTGCTTTGAGAAAGCTGTCTTAGGAACACACGCAAGGGAGACCTTCGATGATCATTCTGGGATCTCACAGTTTGCATACATAGAGGGAGGGAGCTGTACCAATGCTCTACTGACTATCCAACATACTGTCAATCAATATCTTGATATCCCAGAGTGCAAAGCGGTACGCCTATTCGCTATGGATTTCAGCAAGGCTTTTGATAGTGTGAAACACGACTCCTCTCACACAAATTGAAGCAACTCCCCCTAAATCCTTTTATAGTTAACTGGTATCTAAGCTTTTTGGAAGACAGGCAGCAGAGAGTCATTAGAAATGGGTTTATTGGAAAATGGAAAAGTGTCAACAAAGGTACCACCCAAGGAAGTGTCAGCGGGCCGCACTTGTTCAATGTCTTTCTCAGTGATTTAGAGATACACTTGGACAATAAGAGCGTGCTGGTAAAATATGCAGATGATACAACCATTATCTCGCCTGTGATAGGTGATAATGACAATTCTATCGCACTGATTAATCAGTTTTCCCAGTGGTCTAGAAGTAATGGTATGTGTAGCAATCCATCTAAGTGCAAGGAAATCATTTTCCGCAAGAAAGGTTGTACAATAGAGTTTCCGATGGTGTCTGGAATACCACAGACAAAAGAGCTTACTATTTTAGGGGTAACATTTCAGGAAGACAGTAGGTTCATAACACATATTCGGGAAAAACTAATTAAAGCAAACAAGTGCCTGTTCATTTTAAGATCTTTAAGGAAAGAAGGGTACAATCAGGCCGAAATAGACCATCTGTTTCTAAATCTGGTTCTACCAAATATATTATACGGGCTGTCCGTATTTGGCGCTGTAAATTCCGAATTAACAACAATCCAATGTTTCTTAGATCGATGTTATAAGCGCAAGTATACATCCGATCACATTAATGTTTATGAATTGTTAGTTCAACAGGACACGCGTATCTTCAAGAATGTTTTTAATAATACAATACACCCTTTAAGAGCTATAATGCCAAAAAAGAAATTAACCAAGTACAATCTGAGGAAAGAGACAAGTCACCATCCTAAAATAAACACTGATAGGTTCAAAAACACGTTTGTTAATCGCTTAATTTTTAAACATAATCTAGTCTTATAATTTTTATCTTGATTTTCTCTGTAATTTATATATATACCTTCTTTTAATGTTGTAACATAGGATATGTGATTATTTATCTTATGACTTAATAAAGATTCAATTCAATTCAATTCAATTCAAAGAGGGGGTTGGCTGAGGGTCGGGCCACCGGATCCTTCTCTTGAACACGGTAGTATTTTGAAGCCCGTCTGGTTACGTAATGCAGCGCAGCACATGGACAGGGGTTCACAATGGAAGGATATTAACCGATAGCCGTAAATTGGCTAAAATTTTAACCGTGAGTCGTCAAAGCCATCCCCTCATTGAGACCGTCTTTCGTGAGTAACATGACGCGCACTCCGCTTTTAATTTGGAGAGTTTAAAAAGCTTTTCGCAAGAGCGTGTAAAACCAAAACCAAAGTAAACACAACAACCAGTTGGTAAAATGCACCTTGAAACCCCAACATCAAAATCTTTATTCTCCATACGGTGCTTTGTACATAACCTGTGGTATTAATAGGGAGAATTTGTTTAAAATCACGAACTTTACTAGTTTGTGATCATTTCCTTGATTCTCATGACGTTTGTGCTTCATTCAACAGTGATACTGTTTGGAGAAATTAGCTGCCAGTCACTCAGAGATTTGAGGCTGATCTCATTGCTAAGTACGAAATTTATTCATATATACATTTATGTATATATAATTTTTTCACGGGTAAGTGTAAATCAAAAGCTCAGAGTGTGTTTAAAATCATTTTTTTAATTTAGTCAATTTTGATGTTTTGAATGACCTGTTTGGGATTTTGTTTTCGGCATTATATTTTAAATCTCGGGTTTTCTTTTATATGATCAGTTATCAGACTGGGATATCGTTCTTATCAATAAATATAATATGACAGAATGTCTAGCTAGTATGCGTGAAGCAAGCACGCAAATGTATCTTGCGTAAAAGTGAACAACTGAAACTCTTTAAATAAGTAAGTTTTCCTTAACATCTGGAATCCGGGAATTTCTCGCTGTAAACATCTGCCGAAAGAAAACCTTGTCGAAGACACTTCCGAAAAAACTTGCTGTAGCTGTTAGACAGAGTGGTGCAATTTAAATTGAAACTCAAAATATTTTTCATGAAAGCCATAATCGTTGCGGCGGATGACGTAGTCCCCAGTTCGGGAACAATTAGATGAAATGGCATGAGTATCTCACAATGGATCGAAAACCGAAAAAATGGTTCCTATGTAGATGGTCAATCGGCGATAAGTTAGTTGACAGAAAAGATGTTTTAGTAGTGGCATACCACACCTTAAAACAAGGGGGAGAGGGAGTCGTTGACGTTGCCCCTATGATGAATTTTCATTTGTCATTTCTTTTTAATCAGTTATTTTGGCTAAATTTCCCTCTCTTCAGTTTCGCACAGGAAAAAGCTAGGGTTATTCTGTACAGTGTTCCAATCTTTCATTGTCTTTAAATGATTGAATATGTTGGAACGGACACGCAATTAAACAATATATTGGAGAACTTTTTTTATTGATAGCTTGACACTAAATTTCTAGAACCACTTAAAATGCAGCAACAGCTTTAATTTACCACCTAAACTAACTGAAGTGTATTCACCTTAAAGGCTTTTAAAACAATCGAAGTGCGATATTTCCACTAATATAATGTGAATTACGTCATATGCGTTAAGTGGATCCAAGAGCGATCATCTTCCCGGGTATTTGCACTAGGCGGGGTAGAGAAGGGGAGGGGGGAAGGGGAGGAACGAAGTTTTTCCTCTTTTTATAAGAAGAGCCTCTTACACAGATTGAGCTATTTGAGGTCACGTGAAAAGGTATTGCAAGCCCTCCTCTCTCTCTCGTATGGGTCCAGGCCGGATATCACTTTGTTCGCGGAGTTTTTGCTTTTACGAGAGGTTTTCTATTCCTATGAAATCTCCTTTATGAGAACAAAGCTCGACTGAAGCTTGGATCGAGATAATCGCACTTAAATGGAATCAGTAACTTATATACACAAACCTTATTTGAGTTGTAAATACAAGAAATTAATGTAAATATTGTCAAACTTTTAATCAAAATGTTTTCAACTCTCTAACTCAAAAAATGAATCTTCCATTTCAACGGCCTACCGCTGACTCCTTAGCTCTATCTTCCATATGTCTGTTGACTGTGTAAGCCTTCGGTATTTCTGATATAAGAAACAAGAACAAAAACAAGAACAAAAACAAGAAGGAAACAACAAACTGGATCGAACGAAAATAATAAAAAAAATGATTTAACAAATAAACGTCATAACGATGGTCAAAAGCTGTAAAAAGTCAATCTAATGCTTTCCTGGTCAATGGCAGGGAGATCTTACCATTTAGGTTCTAACTATAACAATTAAATACATGTATAGGGCGACACGTGATTTTAATTGACTTTTCTGTTCAATTATTCATCGAAATCTAGGGTTAAATACAGTTAACTTAATAAAAAGATGGTAAAGCCTATCTCCTTAAATAACTCTCTTCTTCCATCCACTGTTAAATATCTCAGTATTTGCATACATTTTAAAATGCTGAGCCGCACCTCTAAGAGCTTTAAAATTCCGAATTCTGATGGCAAATAATCAAACGGAATACATGATTCAATGGCATTTCGATGAATACATGATATCTTACAATGGATCAAGAACTACGAGATTGGCTCCTGAGTGGATCTACATTCGGCGATAAGGTTAGTTGACACATAACACTCACGTAATCGCTTTTAAGGATGTTTTATTAAATATTTTTTTAATGTACAGGGTTTAATACAACATCCCGTCACCCACTCAATTTTATTAAAAAAAAAGTGCAAAATCTTACAGCAATAAAGTCAATGAAATGCCGTTTTTCCATCACAGAAAGAAGAAAAAAAATGCAATGTTGTGCTGTGGACGAGTGGGTGAAATGCTATGAGGAATAAAACTGGTCTACTATTCCAGAACTGATCTTCAACCGTAATGTGTCATAACTTTGTCACTAATTGTAATGTAGAATAACATGAGCTGTTTTCCCCCTCAAGATTCTTAGTCTAATCATTATGAATATTCAAGCTCCATAACATTATCTAACTTGTTGTCATATCTAATCTCTATTAACCCTTTAACTCCCATGAGTGACCAAGACAGAATTTCTCCTTACTATATCCATACAATATCATGCAGACAAGTGATGAGAATAAAGAAAAATATAAATTGTGGGATTACTAATTGATCTGATATCAAATTCTCCAAGCTAACATAATGAGAATCATTTGGCAGACAGTAATGAGAATTACTAATGAGATCTTGAGATTTAAAGGATTAAAATCACCTATGCATTGGATGGCAAGCGTTTCGGTTGTTTTTTCTACAGTAGTGTGATGGTCACCTGACCATGGCCAGCGTTGTTGTAACAACATTCATTCTGCTGATTGTTTCCAACATTGTAGGATCCACCACCACCCCCACAGGTATCTCCAGATCTTTTCCCACTGCCTCCCCCAGAGTATCCTCCTCCTCCTCCTCCTCCTTCCGACCGTCCCTCAGCTCCACCTCCTCCGCCAAACCCACCATAGATGTCGAAATACTCTGATCTCCCACCCACCCCTCCCTGCAGAAATCCCTTACCACCCTCGCCACCATCTCCCTCGGTCCCATTGAAATTGATTCCACTTCTTCCACTGGAGTAAAACCCGCCACCACCACCACCTGAAATATCATGATATTAATTAATTAGAAAACTTTTAATGGGGATATCGTGAGATTATGGAAGAATAAACATTTCGCACGAAATTTTAAAATTACTACCAAAATGCTGAAGTGCCAGAGATTATTGAAAATTATTCTTACCTGATCGTCTATAATCAGCAGTCTGTGCACCATGTCCATTGCTCCCCCCTGCCCATGATCTGTTCCCAGGATTCCCTGTCGTGTTTGAGCTGGCGTCACATTCTGTATGTCTTGAAAATACACGTTGTACCCCTCCTCCTCCTCCAGCTATTATCAAAGGTGTGTTGGCTCCTCTCACTACAAATGTACCTCCACCACCTCCAGAAGAATAAGACCTCTTGTTTATTCCTCCTTCTTGACCTACAAGTACCTGGATGACTTCACCTTTGTTTAAGCGGAATGTTCCAATCATTCTTGCTCCTCTTCCGCGATACTGAGGGCTGTTAATCCGTGGATCGTACCCTCCAGCTGCCCCTATTGCTTCTATTCTGTAATCACCAGTGTGCGGCACAGTCCACTGTTGAATACCGCTGGACAGAGCAACTTGTCTGTCATGATCCTTACCTGCGTAGTAACTTCCGAGCGATGTTGGACCACATCTTCCAGTGGCATTGAGATTTGAGAACACGGCTTTGAATGCTGAGAGGAAAATGTAAAATTGACATCCATTTTTTTAATTAAGTTGTAATTTCATCTTTATCACGAATGTTTATGTTTAGTCTGGCAGCTGGTCGTCTGATCAGTTAAAACAGCTGAGAGAACACATACATAACATTAAGCTCGTTAATGGCAGTTCAGATCTTAAGTTTTCCTACTCTGAGAAATTTGAAATTATTTTGACTGTTTGGAGGAAAATTTAGGGTACGGGTTACTTATCACAGGAGGAGTCTTCCCCTTTAAGGGGTTATCGGGCGGATTCCTGTATAAACATATCAAGAAATGAACCACTTCAGCGAAATCTATGGAAAACTCGTCTTATTTAGTTCCTGGTCATTGCCCTGATAGAATCCTAAGCCCATTAAATGTAATTCGTACGACCTCGATTTCGTAGATTTCAGGTTGTTTCAGTGTTCATTTGGTAGAGGGAAGGTGTGCTTGCATAGGACTAGTATTTCCCGTTGTCACGATTTACATCGAATGATAAAGTATCTGTCTGAGCTGCAATGATTGAGGTAAGTATTCGTTTTAAACGCACATTTTATCAGAGTTTATGTCCGGCGTCGTTTCAAGTGGATCACGCAAATCGTTATCAGTTAAACTTCTGAAAAAACCTATTAAAAAAAAATCAAACAACATTTCTTATACTTACTGCAACTGAATCCCGTTTTGCATTTACATGTGTAAGAGCCGTCTGTGTTATTGCAACTTGCATTATAGTGACAGCCATGGATGTGGCTGGTACACTCGTCCACATCTAAGAAGTTTGAAAATTCATCAATTTTTTTCAGCAAACTTGACAGTGATAGATATTAGTCGTAATTTGTTTTCGAACTCCAGTGCACAACACCCCGTGTCCGCTGCATTGGGTACGCGACAGCCTTAATTCTTAAAATGGGGGTATTCGCAAAAAGTGTCCTTCAAAAATTGTAAACTGTTCAATGCAGTCTGGCCAAAGTGCCAAACAAGGCTTTGTAAAGCGCCATAAGCCATTGGATATGATGCTATGAAAATATTTCATTATTATTAATATGTCTCTATAAAAATATCTATGAATCTCACCTGTGCAATTCCGACCGTTCCCCTGATAACCTTCTGTACAGTTACACGTAAAAGATCCCTCAGTATTATTATAAACAGCTTTGGCATGACAGTCATGAGTGTTGTCAATACATTCGTTTCTATCTAAACAAGGAAAACAATGAGGACTGATATGAGCTTATCCGTAAGCTGGATGAAGAACCTTCAGAACATTAAAAAAGAATATTAGTGAGACCTTTTTCACAGTTTTCTCCCGTGTAATTATCTGGACACAGACAAATGTATCTCTTGTCGGTATATCCATTGAGACAGGTGGAATCATGGAGGCAGGGATTACTGGTGCACGAATTCTGATAGGATAGGAACACGCCTGTTAGTAATTATAATTGACCAAAAACATTCAAGCTGATTTCAGAGGATTGTATTGTAATGTAAAGTAAAATCCTACCTCAGAGGCCCAGAGAATAAAACCTTTTCTTATTTCTTTATCTTCACGATGTTGGGCGTGGTCAAAATTACTCAGTTGGCAGAGCCTGAGGCCTGTCTTGTTTGGTGGGCCGATGTTCACAGACAAACAATTGCTCTCGATGAGGCACTCATATCTGCAGTCATGAGTCATGAGCTCCTCCCCCATTGGCAAGTAAATTTCTTTAAATACGTAACGTTGAGGAGCACGTTCTCCTTCTGATCTCTTAAACCTAAGACTTCGGCAGCCAAAATCTGGAGGCATTGGATTCATAAGAAAAAATGTCATCAGAATTTCAGCTCAAGAAATACTTATACTCTGATCAGAAACGTGAATACCACTGCCAGAGCGATACATATAAGATATTACAGAATTTATTAGTGTACCTTAAAAACACTTTGGGTCAGCACAAAAAAAAAAAAAAAAAAAATTAGAAATAAAATAAAATAAACAACAATACTACTTTCAGTCTGTTAGTTAATGAAACACAAAAAAACCTTTTAAAGTGACTTCCCTGATAACAGAATAAATAACGGGAAAAAATTGTTGCTGTTAGATCTTCATGGTAGCCTTTTACATTAAAAGGGCTTTTGGTATTAAGGTAGTTTGTAAAAGATAGCTAAAAGATAAATCAATTAGGTTTCAAACTTATCGTTTCGCGTAAGATGTGATGCAAGAGATCATTTTACCATAAAATTGCTTTAAAAAGAAAATTTTCAGACTTTAATATGAATCTTCAGTTTCTTAAAAATAAAGTGTTTTTTATTACGAGGTAATTTTCACACTACAACTGTGTGTTCCATCGGTAGCCAATATCGGATTTTTTACTTGCCCTGCAATCTTAACAGCTTTAAATCTATTTGAAAACTCTGGTCGGCTTATGTCGCCTTATACATAAAATGTATGAAAATATGTTCAGCCTGAATTATAAAACTCTATGTTATTTTAGTTTAGGGAAGAAACCACCTGTTTTGGTGTTGATGAGCAAACAGAATATCTGATGTTTGTCTTTGTTAATGCTAATGAGCGACCAAAAACTCTCCCTCGTTGCAAATCGTTCTTCCTCCTAAATTTCGTTTACATACATCTTCTTTTAGTCTCAAGACCTATTGTGCTGAAAAGCTGATATTTAACGGAACGAAATGCAGTTTGGGAATGCGTGGTGATATGTAGGGCATGCAATCATGAAGGTTTTCTTAAGTTCGGGAACTCAGCCAGTGCGCTTCGCACGCTGCAGCTGAAGAGCGACTAGCAATGAAAGATATGTGCTACGCGTGAAACAAAAAACTGATTAGAAAATAATTTCTGCTTTCCCGTCGATTTTTAGCCGAAAGTTTACTGACGAAAATTTTGGTTAATTTTTTTAACCGGAAAAAATATAGATTGGCAAGTTTTTCTCGTCATTTCAACTCAAAAGTCAACAACAATTTTCCATTAATTAAAAACTTATTGATCATAGAAATAACGTCGACAATGTTTAACCTTATGCCAGCATAGGTGTCAAAGTGAGACAGCATTTAATTACGTAAAATAAGTAAATAAGTTAAGTAAATAAGTTAAGTAAATACTCTCTAAGAAATTTTGAACCTATAGGAAAACCATGGCTGGTTTATTCCT